TTTCGCACCAGTGCTGAGGTGGTGCCGGGAATCTGTCCAGCACACATAGAGACAGCAGCGGTGGGTATAGCACCTTGGGAGGGTGGTTGCCTTTTGTGGGGCCCACTCCAGGCTGGACCCTGGGCAGGGTGGAGATGGGCAAAGGGATCAAACCTTTGCGAGAGGAAGGAATCTGATGTTTATGATAAAGACTAACACTCTGGACTTGAGAGTGAATGATAGACTTTCATTTTCCATTAGCTCTTTGTGAAACCCCCTACAACATGCCTTGTGGAAAGATATTATTGGTCCTTAGGGATAGATGAGGCAACTAAGACTCAAAGAGGTGGGGACCCTTGACAAGGCCCCAGGCCACATCCTCTCAACTGCCCATCCATCCTCCCTAAATCTCCAACACTGTCTTTGAGAGTAGGGGTGGGGGTGAGTTGTGCCTCCTCTGGGTCATACCAGACTGTGAGGAGCTCTGGGCAAGGGGTGGGCAGGTGGGCAGCATGGAATGGCCTGGACCAGTGCCTATAAGCCTGGAGTGGTTCTGGGCTCCTGGAGAAGCCTCTCCTGCCACCGGACACTCGAATCACCCACCACAGAGGGGCATGGGGCTAGAGTTCTGGAAACGTGGGTCTAGAGCCAGCTCAGACATTTGTGAGCTATGTGACCTTGGCCACCTCATTTTCCTTTCTAAGCCTTGCTTTCATGTCTGTCAAATGAGGAGGATGGTGCCTGTGTCCTGCTTGGCTGGGGGTTCTGTGGGGAGCAGGTGATGAGTGTTGGTGGACTGCAGGGCTGGCCAGCCAGGAAGGGCCCTGCTGGATTGGGTGCTCCTCCAAGGCAGGACCTGGGTCACAGCCAGTCCGTGTCCCCACCCACTGCCCGGCATGGCCTGGGCGCAAGCCAGTACTTCCTGTGGAATGTAGGTGACGTCCCCAGGTGTGAGAGTCCCTTCCTGAGCCTGGTCATGTTCTGGCCTGCCTTTTCTTACCGCCCAAACACCAGTCCAGGACTCCCACTCACTAGGCCAAGGGCCTCTGAGCACCCCTGCCCCAAAAAAACCTAGGAAACCCACCGAGGGTCAGTCTGTAATGCAGGAAAGAAGACAGGCCCTGGAACCAGAAGGCTCTGCTGCTGTTGAATCTGGCAAGTTGGTTGCCCTTATTTGGCATTTGTGACGTGGGTAACGTTGCTTCTTTTGTTAGAAGTTGTTAAGACACTGGATGCAAAGTGCCTAATTTGGCAAGCAACACGGAGTTGCTATTATTATTGTTGCAGTGGTACTAAACTCAGCAGTGGAAGCTCACGGATCTGGGCTTTAGTTCCTGATCTACTCACTAGCTGAGTGGTTTGGGGGAAGTTACGTTGATCTTCTGGGTCTCGGTTTTCTCATATATTTAATGTGGGTAATATATGGTGGCTAAGAGGATGCAAGACTATCTGGGAGTAGATACTTCAATAAACAGCAGCCACTAATATTAGAAGGATGTGTTACTATTCCATTCCAGGGTAGCCACTGGTGCTTTTGGCCTTGAGTTTGACGTGTCTCTGGGCTTCCCCTCTCTTTGCTTGCAGCCAAGATGGCACGTGCTGATGGCAGAGGACTGTCTACTCAGACCAGTAGCACCCCCACCCCCAGCCCACACAGTGACACCAGAGTGGGCCTCACCTGGCGGCCCCAGAGCTTGCGGAATATCTGGAAATAGGCCATGGCCATGAGGCCCAGTGGGGCCAGGTAGGTGACAATGAAGAAGCAACTGTGGTAGATCTTGGGATATAGGTCATCTGCAGGGGTCAAGAGATACAGAGTCAGGCCCAATCCGCGAGCCGCACCCTTCCCTGGTTAGCAATGCCACCCTGTCCTGACTAGGGTCAAAGCAAGGCCTAGGAGCGGCTGGACCCCATACAGCCACCATGACAGACAGAGACCCTGGAGTTGTCCAACTTGGGGTATCCCTCCTGGAAGGATGTCTACACTAGAGCAGATATCTGCATGAGGGGAGGCACCCACCCTGGGAGTATCCCTGGTAGGAGCCACTCTAGGGTGTCCCCTGGGGAAATACCTGCCCTGGGATTTCCCACTTTGGAAGGGACCCTGCTAGATGCTTGCCCTTGGGGTACGTGCTCCCGAAGTGCCCACCTGAGGGGATGCCTGCTTGAGGCTTCCACCATTACCTGCCCAGCGTTCATCACAGACCGAGAAGAGCCGTGTGCGGTTGGCTAGCTCGGGCAGCACACTGCTGCATTCCATGACTGCAGCCTGGGGCACCATGACAGTCAGCGACACAGCCCAGATGCCCAGGATGGAGCCACGGGCCCGCCGGGCTGTGCTCTTGAACAATAGTGGGTGGCAGATGGCATACCAGCGGTCCAGGGCGATGAAGCTGAGAGTCAGCACTGCCACTGACACGGACACGGCCTGCCCCACGGGGACACAATGTCAGTCATTTTGGGGGCCACCCAGAGATGTGAGAGTAGGTGAGTGAGGAGGCTGACGGCAGGTGCAGGGCAGTGCAAATCCTGACTCCACCACTTACTGGCTGTGTAAATGTGGGCAAGTCACTCACCGTCTCTGAGCCTTGTCTACAGAATGGGTTTATACCATCTACCTGGCAGGATTCTTGTGCGAATAAGTGAAATCATGTGTAAACAATGTCCAGCTTCAGAGCTGGCACATGGTAGGTGGACCCCTCCGGTGAATAATAACTTGTACCTATGTAACTTACTGTGTGCTGGGCACTGTTCTCTTCATCCTCATGGCAATCCCACAAAGTAAGTGCTCTTGCCCCCCTGTTACAGATGAGGAAACAGGCACAGAATTCCCTCATCCATCTGTCTTTATGCTCAGAGTCACCAGAGTTAACCGGTTGAGTGGGAAGCCTCAAAACTGGGAAATCCAAGAGGCATTTATCTCTGCCATGGAATGCAATCCCTACCCCAGGCTGTTAGGAAAAAACCCTCATTCTGGGAGACAGAGATGAGTCTGGGCCACAGGTGTGTAGGCATTGCCTCTAGGGGTACCCCCTGCCCTCTGGGGTGCAGGAAGTGGATCACAGGATACAAACTGAGAGAAGCCTTCTTCCACCCCACTAACCCCATCTGGACATCCTGGTTTCCGCCACTGGGGTCTTTCCTGGCCAGTGCAGGAGGGAGAGGAGAAGGCTGTTTCCATCAGGCTCCTCATGTCTGCCCCTTTGGGATTGGGGAGCAGGCCCAGGGTGTTGTGTATGTGTCACTGTGGGCTGATGCCTCTTTCCTTGACTGTGTGCCTGTGTACCTGGAGGTGACTCTATGTGTCCACACGTGCCTATGTATACGTCTGTGGCTGTGACCAGGAGGGGATCTCTGTGATTGTGTGGGGTTGTGTCTGTGTCCTGGAGTGTCCGATCTGGTGGCTTGCCCTTGCTAGCAGCAGAGGATGACACTTCAGGGGTCACGAGCCACTGACCTATCTGAAAGGCAAGTCTGAGGGTCACTGAGACCTACGCAAGGCCGTCGTTTTTGTACAAGTGTGACAAGGAGTGGTGAGGGGTGCCTGGGCAGAGCTCACCTGTAGATAGGGGATGACCTTGCAGAGGGCATGGCCGAACAGCCAGGACTCAGTGATGTCCACCAGCAGGCTGACCGGCAGGCAGATGGCAGTTACCAGAACGTCAGCCAGGGACAGGTTGACGATGAAGTAGTTGGTGACCGTCCTCATGTGGTGGTTCCGCCACACTGCCAGGCAGACTGCAGGGTGCAGCGGGGTGAGGTGAAGCTGATGGCAGAGCCACACCCATCCTAATTCTGCCCAATCAGCGAGCCCCTCCCCACATACACCCCCCCCCTTCAATCCCCAGGGAAAGCCAGCAGCACTGAAGGGCAAGCGCTGGACCTACCCAGCGTGTTGCCCACCAGGGCCACGAGGAACACAGCCACATAGGCTGCGATGAGGACCCACTCGTACTGTTTTGGGTACAGATAATCGCGCCACAGATAGCGGAGAAACTCGTCTTCATAGTCTGGAGGCACAGGGGATGGCTCCCTGCTGCCAGTGGGGACCCCCATCTGGGCCCCTGGGGTGGCTGAGGGCTCCATGAGCTCAGGAGTTGCTGCGGCGGAGGGGCATCCTAGGCTCTGCAGAGGGGGAGGAGGGAACTTGGGCCAGCCCTCAGCCCACTCCCCTCAGGGTGCCTGGAGGCTTGCACCCAGTTCTTTTTGGATCTCAGCCCCAAACTTCCTGAAGGGAGGAAGGAAAGGAGAGAGTGGAGAAAGAGAGAAGGAAGGAAATTAGGGAGTGTGCCAGGTGCTTTGCATATAAGTTCCCTCTTAATTCTCACAGTCATGAAATTGGTGGAAGAAGACAGACCTGAGTTGCATCCCAATTCCACACCAGTTGCCTTGGGTAGCTTACCTGGCCTCTTTCAGCCTCGGCTTCCCCATCTGTCTAATGGGGTGATAGCCCTACTTACCTTACAGGGCCGCGATGAGGAGTAATGAGCTCCAATGCGTGCCAAGTGCTTCACCAAGAACCTGGTACAAGAAGGTAGTTTAGGGGCTGTTTCGGGTTACCATTATTAGGGTACCCTGCTTTGCAGATGAGAGGGAAGCTCAGTGAGATTGAGTCTCTTGCTCAAGGTCACAAAGCTCCTAAGCCAGGTCTGTTCGAACCCATCAAACACCATAGATTTGAGAGGATAAGCCATCCCGATTGCAAATATTTCTTGAGCCAGTTCACAAGCTTTAACTTTGGGTTGGGAAAACGGGCCAAAGGAGGTGTTAAGAGACCCAAGCCCCACCCGCCATACCTGCCAGACCCTCCGGTGGGCACGCGCGCACACGCACACATACAACACACACACAATGTGGGTGGTGCGCGGAGGGACTGACGACCCCTTGGGAGCAAGGGGAGCGTCCAGGCCCGCTAAGAAGCCCCCTTTGGGTCCCCAGGGCCGCGACGCTCCCCGACGGCCGCCAGGAGGCGCTGTTCCGGCGCGCGGGCCGCTCTTCATTCATAAATCCAGCCAGCCCAGCTCCCCGCCCCTCCCTCCTCCCGCACTCAGCCCCTCCTTCCCCCTGCTGGGCTAAGACGACCCCCGCCGGGTGCCGGAGGGTTGCGGATCCCTGGAGACCCCTGGGGAGGGTGAGGGGACGCCTTCATACCCCACTGAACGCTGGCAGGCCCGCCCCGTCCACGGGACCTTCCTGCACCTCGGGGGCTGCAGGGGACTCCTGGAAGGCACGGGGAGCGAGGGCACTCGGAGCCTGCCTGGAGGAGAGCAGCGCTGGCCGAGGAGCCAGTCTCCCAGCACCCAGGTTACCCCCCGAGACTCTTGGCTCCTCCCATCCCTCGCCGCGGGTCCTTTGGAACCCCCATCCCGGGCCTGGGGGTCCCCCACACCCCGCACCTGTTGGCTCCGGGACCCGGGTGTTCTCGGCTGCTGGTACCCGGACCTGGCATCGGGGACTTCGCCTTCCTACGAGGAAGGCCGAGCCTCTGGGGGCCGGGGCTGCGGGAGGGGGCCGGGGCAGCCCCCTCCCTAGGCTGCGCTGCCTGGGCTCGCGGGGCTGAGCGCGAGCCCCGGCAACTGCGCGGGCTGTGGTTCGGCGCGGGCTCCGCCGGGCTGCGCGCTGCGGGAAGGGAGGGCCGGCGGGAGGGGCAGGGCGGGGTGGGAGCCCCCAGACGGTCTTGGCTCCGTGTCTTCCAGCCCCGAGACCCGCAGGGCGGAGGGAGACGCTCGTTTCTTCTCGTCTCCCACTTCACGCTTCCATCCCACCTCCATTCATGCGTCCATCCGTTCATTCATTCCATCCTCATTCATTCAACATTTATGCCCCTGGCCACCCCGCATTCTGGGCGCACTTAGTGTGTGCCGGCGGGCCTGGCAGCTTCGGAGGGCCACAGTGCAGAGGTGGAGCCCAGCCGCGCCTCTCCTTGCTGCCTGACATAACTGAGGAGGAGGATGGCACAGGTGGGTCACAGGGATGAGACAGAGAGGACGCCTGCACCGCCTCCAGCCCAGCTCCAGATGCTGCTGGAACAGCTAGCTCCCAACGATGCCAGAGAGCCCTTCTCTCCCATCTCCCAATCCCCCATCCTATCTGCCCCCAATTCTTCTTTTTGTTATACCTACTGTTGCCCCCCAAAAACAAGGACACTGATGGGGACAGAAGTGGGGGTTCGTTAATTCCACAAATAACGATTTATTAAGCTGTGTGCCAGGCAATGAGTTATAATAATACAGCTACCATTTGTATAATGCACATGATGCCTGATCTCATTTAATCTTCATATTAGCCTGGTGAGGTGGTCGTTATTGTCCCCATTTTAGAGATGAGGACACTGGACCCACATGGGGCAATGACTTGCCCAAGGTCGCACAGCAGAGGCAGAGCGGGGCTTCAAGCCTCTGCCCCTCTCAGGCCTATGAGCCTCTCTCACCAGACAGAGGCTCCCTCACCTGCTGGCTCCCTCCCTCCCTCTGGCTGCTGGGGGAGGCAGGTGTACACCCAGGCAATTAACCTGTGGTGTGAGGAGAGTGTGAGGGCCCTGGGAACTGTGGGGCACGGGAGGACAGACCAACTCAGCCAGGGCATGAGAACAGGCTTCCTGGAGCAGGGGCATCTCCATGGAGACCTGAAGAATAAGAAGGTAGCCCTGCAAGGGGAATCGTGGTATTTGAGGAAGGTATTCAAGGTCAGGAAACAGCAGGTGCAAAGGTTTGAAGGTTGGGGATTCTGGAAATCACAGGTAGGTGAAGGGTGACTGTCTGAGCATCATGCAGTCACCTTGGCCATCCCTTACCTCAGGATAGGACCTTCCTAACACGTCACCCTCTGAAACTCACACTCTTTCCCTCCTGGGAGGTGACTCCTGGGATGTAACCACCATCTTTCCCGTTGCAGCCAAAGCCCTTTTCAAAGGCTCTGGAGATGCACTGTTAGGCATAAGAGGTGTGGGAGAGGAACTGGAGCAGCCTAAGGGAGGAGGCCAGTGACCTTCACCTCTGCAGAACAGGAGGATGGACTGAAGCTAAACTCAAGGCAGAAGTTTGTCCTTGGGCAGGTATGGCATCTGCATGGTGGGTGATATCCTGCCTGCCCTAGGTGCTGGCCAAGGTAGGAGAATGAGTGAAGAGACTCAGAAGAGGGGCAGGTGTGTGTGTGTGTGTGTGTGGGTGGGTGGGTGCGTGCATGTCTGCATATGTATGCATGCGTGTGTGTTTGTGTTTGAGTCTTGAATTCAAGTAAGGGCAGTGGTGTGTGTCTAGGGAATCCAGTGTGTTTGTGTCTGACTGTGCATATGAGCAGGGGATGGGCTCTGGGTTGATGACTGGAGGTCACCCTGGGTGGGATGTGTCTGTCTGGGTCTTGATCTGTCTCTGTGTTTTGGTGTCTGTGAGGAATGTGTATGTGTGAGGAGATGTCTGTTTCTCAGTGTGGATCTGAATGTTCAACTGTGGCTTTGACTAGCACTGGCCCCCCAGTGTGTTTCCCTGTGAGTGAGGGAATGTGAGTGTGGCCATGCCTTTGTGTGCAAGGCTATGTGAGTGTGCGTATGTGGAACTTGGTACATCTGTTCCTACAGCAGTGACTCATCTTATCCCCCCACATTCTCCCCCCAACCTGGAGCTGTGACTGTTTGCTATGTAGGGGCTGAAGAGGGGGCTGCAGCACGTGGGGGGGATGGGAGGCAGATCGTGTGGGGACACTCCAATGACAGCTGCGGCAAACAAGGTGCAGCCAGCGGTGTGGAAGGTACAGATTCATGTTTTTCTGTGTGGGCGGTAGGCACCGGCCAAGCCCAGCACAGCCCAGGCTTAGAACCTAGCCCAGAGTGCAGATCTCCATATTTCAGGGCTTCGCAGATACCACGGGTTGGAGTGGGCAAGGGGCTCGCCAGGTTCTCCCAAGTCATGATACAGGGTGGTGCATGTCTATGTAGGGAGGAAATCATAGCTGGGAATTCCCCCCAGTATACAATTTCACAGAGTCAGTCCCATCTCCACTTAAGAGGGATCTCAACTGCTAACCTTCCCCCACCCTTTATCCCTTGGTACCCCGAAGATGGCTGCTCCCCAGGTCAAGGGATCCTGAGAGATTCCTGCCATCACAAGCAACAGATCTCCCTGTCTCCCCTAGCAGACCCTGGCCAGGCATTTTCAAGTCAGCAGCAGGAGCCAGGGCTGTGGCCTGGAGGCACTAGGCCTCGCAGCCCCTCTGGTCCTGAATCTGGCCTATTTCGCCACAGCCTAAGGGTGGGAGAGACCAGTTATTTGGCCTAGATGGGCATGAGAGAGAGTGGGTGTATGCTCAGAGAAAATCCTGGGGGCAGGGCAGTGGGAACCAGCAGTGCTCTAGAAGACCTACAAGAAGCTGCCGGATTTTGGTCCTCAGCACAACAGCACTGGGCTCTGGGAACTCTGGCAAAATGCCCATGTCTAAGGGAGGGCCCCAGGGACCTCAGGTCCTCCATGTCCAGGCTGGGCTCCCAGCCCTGGCGCCTCCTCTGCCCAGGGAGGACTGGCCTCAAGGCTTTGCTGTGCTTGAGCTGTCTGTCAACAGGGGCCCACACGACCTCTTTCCTGGAACCAGCCAGCCCCAGCCTTGTTGATCTAATCCTGAGCCTCTGAGCCACAGGTCCCTGTCATATCCATCTTCAAGTGTCACCCTAGGCACTGGCCCCAGGTGCTACCTCCTCCTCCTTCCCAATCCTGCTGTGACTTACAGTAACCTCTGTCTGGCTAGGACTAGAGTAATTGGAATGTAATTGGGTTTCCTCTTGCTAATGCCGCTACAGACCTGGGAACGTGGATAGGAAAACTCTGGAGAAGGCAGAGGTGCTTTGTAGAAGAGCAGAGATCAGACAGCAGGCCGAGGTGTGGGTGGGTGAGGGGAGGCCAGCAGAGATGGGCTGTGCTGTGGGAAAGGGGGATTCTGAGGGCGGAGCCTAGGGAGACCACTGAGCAGCTGCAGTGTTTTGGTCTTTGGCCAACAGCAGTGGCCTCTGGGAGCTCATGCCCAGGAAGGGACCCAGAGACCTCCTGTTCCCCATATCCAGGTCCTCAGCCTTTGTGCCTCTTCTCCTCTGGATGGGCCCCCTCCTTCAGGGTCTGGGTGACTTGAAGGAGACAGGCAGCCACTAGGAGAGGAGGAGCCCGGGACCCAGAGTCAGGCTTTCTCTGTGACTCCCAAAGCTAGAGATCATTTTCCCTTTTTGTTTTGTTTTGTTTTTTGAGACACAGTCTTGCTCTGTCGCCCAAGCTGGAGTGCAATGGCATGATGATGACTCACTGCAACCTCCACCTCCTGGGCTCAAGTGATTCTCCTGCTTTGGCCTCCCAAAGTGCTGGGATTACAGGTGTGAGCCACCGCTCCCGGCCTAGAGAACATCTTCAAGTCAGTGGCAGGAGCCAGGGAGAAGGGAATGGAGCCGGCAGCCTTCTGTCTGTCCCCTTACCCACATACTCACTCAACAAACTCGGAGACTGGGTAGGCTGCAGAGACGGAGACTCTCCTGGTTAGGCTAGGGAGACCCTCATGGAGACGAGTGGACAGGGGTGGTGTGAAATGCATCAGGATGGAGCTTGTGGAGGCAGGGTGGGGGCGGAATGGAACAGCACAAACAACAGTGCGCAGAAACCACAGAAAATACATCTCCACCCACCCCCCCCCACCCCGCCCCCACCCCGCCCCTGGTGTTGAGGGGAGGTCAGGAGCCAGGATTTGGGGTCAGGAAGACTGGGATTAGACCGCCACTCTGCTGCTTACTACTGGGTGATCTTGGGCTGGTCACTTCCTTCATCTCTGTGATAGGCTGAATAATGGCCCCCAAAAATGTCCACGTCCTAAACCCCAGAACCTGTGGCTATGTTCCATGGCAAAAGCGGCTTTGCAGATGTGGCTAAATTAAGGGTCTTGAGATGAGGAGTTTATCCTGGATTATGCAGGTGGGCCCAGTGTGATCACATGGTCCT